GGCAAATCTAAAGGACAGACCCTCGGTGAAGATGGTTACGGTTAAGATGGTGATTGTGATGGTAGCTTTAGAGGTTATACTAATAGCCTTGTTCCTGGATCGATGGCCGATACAAGTTAATACGGTTGTCGAAGATGCCTTTGTGCCTATAGACTGTGGCGCATCAGCGAAAGATCTGCACACCGCTGTACTGTTGTACAATTGGTTCTTGGCATTAATTTGTACTGTAATGGCATTCCGTGCTCGATCCCTTCCTGCAAACTTCAAGGAAGCACGGTTGATCAGCTTTGCTATGTTCACCTTTTCTGTTATATGGCTTTCGTTCTTAATCGTATTCTCCGGGAGTATAATAAGTCACTTCTCAACTTATTTATGCGTTGCGATCCTGGCGACAGCCCTTGATTTCGTGGTGTGTATGTTTGCACCAAAAATATTCGTCATCCTGTTCAGGCCAGAGCTTAACGAGGTTCGCCTGGTCCGCGCAGATATTTATCGTTACGCCGTGAAACAAACTAAAGCGCGCATTCGCATACACCAAATGCGGAGTCAGCGGACTGAACTCATGCGCACTCAACTCGAGGGATCGTTACCACGAAGCCAGCCCGCACATATCTTCCAAGAATCGAAGTTTAGTAATGTTTGATTGGTGTAAGTGGAATTTATTTGAGATTCGGAAACTATTTAACTGTTGGATATAGTTTATTAGAATATTGAGGATATTTATAGAAAATATTGCCAATCTGAGCATTAAGGTCAGAGCATTAGTGATTAGGTCTCAAGGGCAATAGGAGTCATTGGCCGAGCTAAAAGATATGTTAAACGAGATGCCTTAAAAGTAATGTATAATTCTATAGTCCTCCCGTGTTTTGATTATATTGTTCCTTTGTTTGGAATAATCAGTGGTGTCAAGTAACGAAGTAAATGTACTGGCTGTATTTTAGTAGTATTTTTAAGAAGTCAGCATGTAACAATGGAATGTAAACTTTTTCTGGAGTACTTTTACTTGGAACGAAGTCGTTTCAAGAAGTAAAGTTTTACTTCGTTATTTTCATTTTGTGGTGAAGTATTTCGTTACTTTCTTACTTTTATTTAATTTTACGTGATTTATTCCTGATTGCTGCCGAGCGCCAGCGAGGCAGCATACTATTCTTGACGCTTGCTCAGGATTCTCCAAGAATTCACTCGACCCAGTCTTTTGCGCGGATCTATGTGATCTCAAATCAAACTGTGTCTGTCTGTCTTTCTGATTGTCGTAATTTCGGGGAACAGGTCATTCGAAAATAGGGGGGAGGGGTGAATAATACTGCTGAGCTTTTAACTTAATTTTTACAATATCTGGGTGAAAAGGAATTAAAGAAAGTTCAAACTATCATTTTTTGGAGTAGCTATGGCTTTATTTCTTTCTGCCGATTTTCATGAAGGCGATGAACGTTTTAGTGTTCATTCTAGAGGTAAAGTGATGTGCTTTTATGATTTATCGGTGCTTCTTAAATTATACAGCCCAAAATATAATTTTTTCCTCGTGGTCGAAGTCGAAGATAACATTTAATAATGTCTTACTACACGGAGATAAATTGTACTTGAAAGTGATCAATACTGGTTTTATGTTAGATCTAGGTATTTATTTTTTGTCTGTATAACATTTACCTAAAGGTGTATTGATATTTAAACATGTCGAACGACTTTTACGCACTGCTTTTACGACATATGTCATTCAGTGGTCAACACAGTAGATTTCTATAGGAGGGTCCTGAAGGGGGGATCCCAATCCCATTTCCCACCTGAAATTTTGAAAATTTATCTGCCTGCGAATTTGGCAACTAAAGTCTGAATGATCTGGCCAGGCTAGTTCAGCTTGCTGACCCTATGACAGTGTTCATCCATGCAGTAGATTGATTACACTTATAAAAATAGCAACTGTCAACAGTATATTTTTTGGATTTTAGTATATAACAGATAGTTTTAAACTGACACTGAACTTATTCAGGTAATAGGTGTTTTTGCATACAGAGATAATGATACATGTTCATTAAGCTAGACAAATAAAGGTTGTAAAGAGAGCAGCATGTATAAATGTGTGAATATTGTCGTATATATTAATATTTGCATGACCGAATTTCTAAATATAGCACTTACAGTACACTCACTGGAGAAATAAGCTATAAAATTGATTGATATTCATGTATTGTGTAATTGGTTAAAAATGTACCAGCTAGCACATTTTGGTGTACTGTAATGAAATCAGTACACCATGTTATTCAACGCATTCACCAGCAAGGGCTATAAAGTCATTTGCTATTTCAGGTCCTGCAGTCATTTTCTTTCTTTTTTGACAAACGTTTGCCAGTACATAGTGGATATTTAACAATTAGACAACGAAGCCGAGTTGTCTATGAGCGAATAGTCAACGAGGCGAAGCCGAGTTGACTATTCGTTCAGAGACAACGAGGCTGAGTTGTCTAATTGTTTTAGTATAAACCACATAAAGAAAACGGAATTTTTCACTTGATTTTTATGTAAAATAATGTTTTAACGAAATGAGCGTTTAAATGGCTTCCTTGGCTTTGGCGACATTTCGTCTTGGCTTTGTTGACAACTACTAAGTGTTGCGAACTACCAAGAATGACTTGGAAAATACAACTTGTGAGTTTTTAAAAAGTTAAAAAACATGTCATAAAACAGTATAATAGTAAGAGACGGTTATAGAAGCAAAGTTTGGTTAATTAAAACTTATTTAAAAGAAGGAAACAAGGCTTAAGGGGTCCAAAATTTCGACTGACACAAAATGGCTTCCCGAATTTTTATTAAATTAGTAAATAAAGTTTACGTCGTTAAAAAGCCGAATAAAAATGCACACACATGCAAAAGAATCCGACTATCCTTAACCTTTGAAATCTTTAACATATCTGGAACATAAAGAGGCAAACTATTTCCATAGTTAGTCACTACTTGGTTTACCGGAATGAACCAGGCAATATTTATCATAATTACTGTGTTGGGTAATACTACTATACTTTTTTGTGCATATATGAGTCTAGTGCAATTACTTTTGTGATTAACCCAATGAAAGACAGCATTATCCCCTTGACAGGTTGAATAATCTAGCATTGGACAGAGAAGGGGTGGATATGGCCTGATCTGTTAGGGACTGCTCATTATTTATTGTACAGGGGGAGACTGAGGAGAAACTCTACAGTTATAATATTTTTTCGTTGCCCCCCTCTTAAGATAAGTAAAATTTTCAAAGCCCCCCCCCCCAACAGGCAAAACAAGATCATAAATTTTAACCCCCCCCCTAGCTCTTTATCTTTATTTAGAGAAACAAAAACTCTAGCTCTTTATTTAGAGAAACACAAATAGATAATGGGGACCAATAGACAATTCCCATTATAGACTAAAAAAGTATATTCCCGGGAAGGGCATACTAAAATTAATAAAATTGCAATGTTTGGTTGCGAAATGTTGTAAAATGTAGAAAATATATAGCCTTCCAAAGTTGCAAAAATTTTGTATACTTTTGTATTGCAATTTTCGCATGCAATACAAAAGTATACAAAATTTGCAAACTTTGCAAGGCTATATTTTCCGTATTTTACAACATCTCGCAACCAAACTTTGAAATAATTTACTTATTTTAGTATGCTCTTCCTAGCAATGGTGATTTATTTGCATCAAGGCCGGATTTTGAGGGGAGGTGTGGAGAGGTGCGCACCTCCCCTGAGATCGTTTTGCACCTCCCCTGAGAATTTTTGCACTTCTCCTGAAAGGTCATGCACCTCCCCTTCGGAAAGTTTCAATGATGGAACAAAGTGAAAATGTGATGGTTGCTTAGGATCTACACTTTGTGACATAAGAAAGTTTTCTCTGTAAAATTGAAACAGTGATAGCCATTCATATCTGTGTCAAGTACACTGTTAATGCAATGTTTTGAAAGAAACTTTGTAGCAATTGCAATGAAGGGAAAGATTGGAGTCATACATTCATAATTCATTAATACACTGGTACATATGTACACTACATGCATACCTCACCTTGTTGATATTGGCCTGTTCTACAATAAGCCCTAATTTTCCATGGGGGTAGTAAGCTAGACTGCTGCACCTCCCCTAACATTTTTTTCCACCTCCCCCACTATTTTCCACCAAAATTCGGCCTTGATTTGCATCTCTTTGCCTAGTTCTAAAATTAGTCTACAATGGGAATTGTCTATTTACATGAACATAAGAGACTTGGCTTCCATTTATAAATATTAGGTCTATAAACATTATTTGTTGTCAAGTTGTTTTGTGATACATTTTTAAAACTAGTAATGTTTTATTCAAACTGGTAAATATTTTCAAAGCCACCCTTCTTTCTTCTCTCTGTATTTTTTCAAAGCCCCCCTTTCAGGTTTTAAAAAATTTAAAGCCCCCCCCCCAGTTTCTCCTCAATCCCCCCTGTACAATAAATAATGAGCGGTCCCTTAGAGGGGGTGGAAGTTTTCCAGAGGGGGTGCATGATACTACAAGGATCTGGAGGCATTTTCCCCCATAAAATATTTGAAACCTGATTTAGTCCTGAAGTGCCATTTCCTGCATTCTGGACACTACATTTATTTGTTAACCCATTGAGTTGCAGCACTCTCCCCCTGATGAGTAAAATCGTTTGGCATTAAACAGGGTAAAATAATAAAATAGGGTGCATCCTGGTACATTGCCTGCACTTAAGGGGTTGAAGTACTTGAATTTCAGACAAAAATTAACAGTAGTGCTGTATATATTCAGGGCGTTAGCTACATTAAATTACCATTTTTACAATTACGTTTAGCCAGCACATTCACAATTTAGATACAAAAACTTAACTAGCTATTATATACGGTATATAAATAAAAAAGATTGTTCCACTGAAATTTACATTTTCATTAATTTAAATTGCAAAATGTTTTAATCTTCTGGCACCCTGATATCGTTATATGGTACTGACTC